TTTTTGAGACAAGGTCTCCCTATGTAGTTCAGGCTGGCCTTGAACTTACTATGCAGCCTAGGCTGGCCTCAAACTCTTAGTGATCCTCCTGCCCCAGTCTTCTGAGCACTAGGACTACAGGTTTGGTGGCTTGATTCTGATAGTACAAGAAGGGTTAAGTGTTTCTATTCTTTCCAGAGTGACAGCCAGAATTCTCTCATACATTTTAATGCATTTCAATACTAATCTTACCTAAAATAATCTGCTTATTTGATCATACTGCTTACATGAAAATCTTTCCTGCATTTCCCTAACCCCACCTGAAAGTAGTTTTTCCTCCTTCCTGGATTTTAAAAGCAGTACATAGTCATGTTAAAATAAATTAGGCAAAAGACGAAGGATCAATAGTAGCACATGCAGGGTCCTGGGTTCAACCTCCAGCACTGAAAAAAAAGAGCAATCTATAAAAAAATAAAGAAGGGGGCCAGGGATTTAGCTCAGTGGTTCCAGCACCTGCCTCACAAGTGCAAGGGCCCAAGTTCGATCCCCAGTACCAAAAAAAAAGAAGGGAGAAAAGACTGGGGCTATAGTGCTATAGCTCAGTGGTAGAGTGCATGCCTGCCGTGTCAGAGGCCCTAGGCTTGGTCCTCAGCGCTGCAAAAAACAAAACAAGCAAGCAAATAAAAAAAAAAAAATAAAATAAAGATTCTTTCAAATCCTGTCATGCATAGGTAACCATTCAATGTTTTGGCATATGGGGCTGAGGATTTAGCTCAGTGGTTTCACTGCCTGCTGTGCAAGCACAAGGACCCAAGTTTGATCTCTGGTACCAAAAAGAAAAACAAAAAACAAAACAATGTTTTGCCATACAGTGTTCCAAATTTTTAGAAAATACTAGGCAATAATCCCATTACCTTTACCAATAGATTTTTAAAAGACAAGTTAAGACTGGGGGTTCTAGCTCAGTGGTTAGTATACTTGCCTAGCATGCTTTCTTTCTAAAAATTGGAGCGAAAAAAAAAAAAAGACAAACAAACAAAAACCTGAGGTATATCTTGATCACCCACTCCATGAAAATTTGTCTACCCCACAAACCATAGCTATTCAAACATCTTTTTAGTTTACTATACTTCCAAAACTATTAAAACAGCAGAAATACAAGATCAAATTGGTCCATAATCTATCATGCAATCAGAAAAGTGTTTTCAAATCAGTTTTGGCTTGTTTTCATTTTGCTTTGATTACTTGTAGTAATTATGAGATGTAATTTATATTCTGTCTTTTCATCTAATGTTATGTCTTAAATATGTTCCCACTTTGCTGTAATTCTTTTTTCTTTTTCTTTTCCTATTCCTACTCCCTTGCTTTCCTACTTCTAATCCCTTAAATAAGGAAACAAGCCAGGGATTTAGGTCAGTGGTTCCACCGCCTGCCTCACAAGAGCAAGGACCCGAGTTCGATCTCTGGTACCAAAAAAAAAGAGGAGAAAATAAGCAAACAAGGCCTGGTATTTCTCCACTTCTTTTTCTCTATTTTTTACCAATCCTAGTTAATATATATAGAATTTTTCTATAATCATTCTGGAACTATTCTGTACATTTTGGGTTCTAATCCAATGGTTCTCAAACTTTACTGTATATTAGAACTACCAGGCAGGGTTTTTAAAAGCCCAAGGTTGAGGTTGCACTCATATTAGTCAATCAGATCCATGGGGGTGATATTCTGGTAACAGGATTCAAAAAAATTTCCAGGTGTTTTCAATGTGCAGCAAAATTTGGTAACTATCATTTGAATCCTTTTCCATTTTCAGTTAAAAAATACATTATGGGTCAATTTCTTTGTAAATCATATAGCTCTATATGACAGTTTTTAATTGTTGAGTTCATTTTATTGCACTGATGAAACATAATTAGTATAACCATCCTCCTATTAATAGATATCTAGCTTGTTCACTCTGCATATCTTAATAGTTTCTCTCTATACTTCTAGGTTCTGTTTTAACTGTGAATGGTAGAACTGAGAACTATATCCTGGAGACTCAACGTGACGTCGAAGAATCTCTGGAATGTGTTGTTCATGACCACACTAGCGATGAAGAACTCCTCTGGTACCGAGAAGAAGGGAGAGTGGATTTGAAATCTGGAAACAAAATCAACTCTAGCTCTGTCTGTGTCTCTTCCATCAGTGAAAATGACAACGGAGTCAACTTTACCTGCAAGCTGCAGAGCGATCAGACGGTGTCCATCTCAGTGGTGCTGAATGTCACTTGTGAGTGAAGGGAAAAGAAGCTGGCAGTCAATCTGCAATGTCTGCACTACATTAAGTGGTAGTTGCAATCTAGGCATTGGTTTTGCCAGATTGCCCTATTTATGCTCCCACAAAAAAGTGTTTACCATATACTCCATACCCTTTCCAGCACTGAGCATCTGCTAGATGCATTTGAAATTTTACTCATCTTTAAAATTAAGAATGAGACATTTTCATAAATGTACTGGCTATTTGTATTTATTTTCTGTGAAATAACTTGCTCATGGGTTTACTATTTCTCTGTTGGGATACTATTCTTTTTCTCATTAATATGTATAAAGGTTTTATAAGTTAAGGAAATTAGCTCTTTGCCCGTTTGGATTGCAAGTATTTCTCCTATTTAATTTGCATTTCTGGGGATTGAGACCAGGGAATACTGAGCTCAGCTCTTTTTATTATTTTGAGAAGAGGTTCTCGATAAGTTGCCTAGGCTGACCTTAAACTGGTGATCTCCCTTGCTTGGCCTTCCACGTAGTTGGGATTTGTCATGAGCCAGTATGCTTGCCTCTCCTATTTGGTTTTGAAAAAATTTTCTTTCAGTGCTAGGGATCGATCTTAGGCCCTGGAGCATACTAGCCAAGTACTCTACCACTGAGATACGTCCTAGTTCTAAACACTTTTATAGTGTTTTGGGGGGCTGCCATATTGATGATATTAATGTTTACATATTTAAGATTACCGATCTTTCCTTTTTTGTACCTAGCTTTTGTATTCTGTTTAGGAAGATCTGCATTGGGGATCATTTAATATTACCTTAAAACCCAAAAAGGTGAAGCTCTTCAAATGTTCGCTTGCAGGTCTCTCACTGATGATAGAATTATATACATAGATTAGAGGCTGTCAAATGATACTACATGGGTGGTCATGTGGGTTGTCTGGGTAGGAAGCTGGTTCTGCATGAGGGAAGTGTGGATGATATTGCAAGGCAGGAGGTGGAATAAGATGAAAGATGATATGATCCGGAAGGAAGAGCTCTGGATTTGAAATGTAGTAATAAAAGTAAAGCCCCTTGAGTCAGTGAGCTCAGCCGACTTTTCTGTGAAAAACTGATGCCACTGCCCCTGAGATGCACAAGTGGAGCAAATACTGGGTGACTGAGCTCTGGAAAATCCTGACATTCTGCATTTTGAGATTTCTAAGTGAATAATTCACATGTTCCCAAGCAAATGAACTTTGTTTTTCATTTTTAATAAATTGATAAAGCATGACTTTAAATTTTTTTGGTACCAGGGATCGAACTCGGGACCTTGTGTTTGTGCAGCAGATGATGGCACCACTGAGCTAAACCCCCAGCCCAAACATGACTTTTAGCATGCTATCTCTTGGCTATTTGGGGTACTTAACTTTTTTTTTTTTTTTGGAACCGGGGATCAAACTTGGGACCTTGCATTTGTGAGGCAGGCGGCAGCACCACTGAGCTAAATCCCCTGCCCTCTCTTGGCTATTTTGATAGACTCCAAGACTATCAGAATACCTTGGCTGTTTTGTAATCCAGCCAAAGTGAGGAAGTTGAGGCTCAGATTGGAGGCCTAAATCATAGCTGGAACTGACGCCAGAACACAAACCCCCCCATGCCAATCTCCTAATCTAGTATTCTTCCCATGGTATCTTCCTAAGAGCAACATGGCAGAAATGCCAAAAATATGACCTGGTGACTTAATGAGTTTGTTTTCAATTTTCTAGCCTCAAATCACTTTAAAAATCATCTTTACAATAACCTTCTAAATATAATTGTTAAACATATATGGCTGATTATATATATCCAATCGAACAGTGATTCATGTGACAACTGACAAACTCATCAACTAATAAATCAAAATGAGCCTGTAAAAGTGACAAGAATGTCATGTACAATCCAAAGGAATTATTATTAGTGATATAAAGAGCAGATCTAGAATTAAGAAGAGGGATGGGGTGCAGCTCAATGGTGCCTAGTATGTGTGAGACCCTGGATTAAATCTGTTGTGTGTGTGCACAAAAACACACGCGCACACACACACAAAATAATGAGAGCTTGATAATGTGCAATATAGAGGGTGTGAAGAAACAAATTCTCTTACATGTTCTTGTTCAACGTATAAACTGAAACCACCTGTTTTGCAATATCTATCAAAATTTAAACGTGACTTTGCCATGATCTAGAATTTCTTCCTCTAACCTTGGAGAAATGCATGCATGTGCATATACAGAGGGATGTGTGAAGATATTTATTGTATCACTGTTTAACATATTTAAAATTCAAGCAATCTAATGCCCACCAAACTAAGGTGTCATATATTGTACTATAGCACTCCAAACCAGTGAGCTAGATCTTTGTGGTTCAATATGACTATATTTCAAAAATGTGCAAGTGGGCCAGGGATTTAGCTCAGTGGTTCTGCCCCCTGACTCGCAAGTGCAAGGTCCTGAGTTCGATCTCTGGTACCAAGAAAAAAAATGTGCAAGTTATTGAGAGGATGAAGTCTTTCATGTAAGACCTGTGCTCCTAAAATAATACAATACTTTTATGGGTATACTATCTGTATATAAAACTTTTTTTAAAAGATCTGGAAGGATTTATCCCAAATTTATAGCAATAGTATCTCTGGGGAATTAGGATCAGATCAGGCTAGAATGAAAGAGAATCTGAAATGTACTGATTTTTTTTTTTAAAGGGAACATTTAGGGCCAGGGATTTAGCTCGGTGGTTCCGCAGCCTGCCTCGCAAGTGCAAGGTCCTGAGTTCGATCCCCGGTACCAAAAAAATAAAAAAATAAAATAAAATAAAAAAATAAAAAAGGGAACATTCTCATGTAGCTGACATGCTTAAATATTATTTTAAATAGCTAACATGAATGCTTATAAGGTCTGCCCACAAGTGGGACTGTTCTATTTGGCAATTATGTTCTCCACTCCCACGTCTTTCTACATATCTGAATACCATATAACATCCTTGTTGGATATGGATACAGAATTCAAGCTCATTCCAAAGAGCAACAAAATGTCATTCTTCTGAGAAAGTTATTAATAGTGCAGCCTACTCAGGGTCCAATTATTCAGTGTGCAAATAATACAAATTCATTTTTTCTCCTTCACATCTACCTCTTTCCTACTGCCCACTCACTCTTCAACCACTTTATTGATCTTCTGCATCTTTGCCCAAAAATGCAAGGGACATAGAGTAGAGGGGAAAGTCAGCGCAGCCATTTCTCCCCCTAGATACTGGAAAATCTTGCTGGGGGGGGTGACAGTTGAAATTATTTGGCAAAGATAAATGTGTCTATCTATGGATCTACAACTCTTCTTATCCTGGAGAGAGTAAGAAGTTGCTTACATGGATGAGAGGGATCCACTAATCTGTTAATGCCAGAGATGTCACAATTAGAATACCTCCTTGGAGGGGGCCTTTATTTCCAGAAGATCAAGGAAGAAATGCAAATGTACATTACCAAATATGTAGTCATGGCAAACTTGGTTAGATAAAATGTAAAAATAGGAGGTCTGAGTAGCCCTCAAAACCACCATCACCTCAATGATAATAGTAGCTAGCACTATACTAAATTCTTCACAGGGATTATTTCATTTGATCATCACAGCTGTTTATGAAGTCAGTATCATTATCTCATTTTTGGAAGATGAGGAATCCGAGGGCTTAACAGTTATTTGGGTATCTCAAGGTCACACGAAGTGGTGCAGATAGAATAGGGTTGACTGCAGTGCCCATCTTCTTAGTATTGTACTATTTTATTCAACCCTACCATAGGTTGGTTTATTATATTAATTTTTTGAGAGCAAAGAAACAAGTCTTATACTTTTGGATAGTGTTACAAATTGTCTATTTGCTACAGATTCATTATCATGTATATTATGTTCATAATCATATTTTGCTTTATGGTTTGTCTTTACCAGATTAAAAATTCTATGAGGTTTGGAACTGGAGTATGTTATTTATCATTTTATCCCTAGTTTCTAAACCAGTATGTGGCACATAGTATGTACTCAATACATTTTTGTCAAATGAGTGAATAACTACATGAGTTCAGTCAAAGGAAGACCTTGAACACTGACAGTGAGTTACTCTTTCTCTTCTAATTAACCCTAAATGCTTGAGTCTTACAGATCCTCCTCTCCTAAGTGGAGACAACTTCAAAACAGCTGAGGAAGACAGTGATGTGAACTTGGTTTGCAATGTGAAATCCAACCCACAGGCTCAAATGATATGGCACAAAAACAATAGCATCCTGATATTAGAGAAAGATCACCACCAAATCTACCAGACAAGTGAGTCTTTTCAGCTGTCAATCATCAAAGTCAAGAAATCTGACCATGGAACCTACAGTTGCATTGCAAGTTCACCTCTGAAAATGGAGACCATGGAGTTTCAACTGGTTGTTAGAGGTAACTCTCTGTTTTTTTCTTTTTTTTTAATTCTTAAGTTCTTTTATTGGTACATTTTACGTATATAATACGTTTACATTTATCATTGGGTGCTTGTACCTGTACATGATGTATCTTGGTTCTTATTTTTTTCCCCATTATCTGTGTGCCCTTCACCCCCTCCACCCTTCCCTATTTACATAGACTTCATTTCCATTTTTTTTCTTTTCTCATAGTTTTTCCTT